TCCCACAAGAGGGAAAGGCTCACTGACAGTACATATCCATGGTTGCAATCTCACTAATGGTCATGGTTGTAGTCGTTCCAACAACGACGATGCTTAAAGGTCTGCAAATGTGTGAATTAATAGTGTAAGGAGTCTGAATGGAGGAAAAATGTGCTTGTGCTATGTGGCCAATAAGATTTAGAAAGTTTAGGGTTTAAGTGTATCCTAATTTTAGGAAAATAAGAAATTACATCTTATACCGGTTATGATTAGAACTTGTATAAAAAATTTTCTTATTTATTACAAACATACCACTATGTTCACTTTCTATAGTGGTTATAATTAGAACGAGTATAAAAAGTTTTCTTATTTATTATAAAAATATCACAATGTCCACTTTTATCCAACATGACATAATAACCCTATTATCATGAGTCTTTTAGCTTCTTACATTAAACATGACAAAGAAAATAATCACAAATCAATGTCATAAATTACATGTAGAAATTAATAATTTATGAATGAGTTTCAACTTGTGGATATATGCTTGAATTTGTTGTTCTCTAGGCTTACCCACAACTCTAGTTAAATTCGAAACATAGGTTAGTATTAATATAATTAAGTAGATGATATGAAAAAAAATAACACTGACGTTTGTAACATGAAGTTCAAATCATTTTTTATCTTCTTATGTGGAACAAAATCATACAACTATGCATTGTCTTATAATGATGATCATTAGTTGCCAAAGACTCTTACCATGCACAATGACCTTTAAACGGTATCAAATCAAGTTTTGAACACATCTAATAAATCTAAATTATATAAACCTTCAACATCTAATAAATTTAAAATCAATTAGATAACAATAAAAACTAACAATTAAATTTAATAATTAACACCCTATATATCATAATACTAATTAAAACTCACGTACTAATATAAAACTAATAAAATTAAATATTCATATTAAAACTAAGATAAAACTAATATAAAAAGTAAATATTTAATACTAAACACTTAAAAAAACTTCTTCAATTTTTTTTCTCAAATTACTAAAACAATTTGATCAAGATAAATAAAATAATGGGAACCAGAATGAAATGCAAGCTATAAGTCAAACTAACTGTGTATCCAAGCTTTGGTAATCAAAATTGGAGGATGTGTTTTCAAAACCGACTTTGGACAGTGGAGGAGGAGAAGTCGCTGACGATGGGAAATGGATAACTCCTCACCACTCAAAAATGTTCAAAACGCTCTCCATGCATGAAAACAGTTGGTTAAAATGAACAAAAAATCACAATTGAGACAACATAGGAACATGCATTTGAGTAAAATGAAGCAAAACTCAACTTTGGGCATCGTCTTGCGTCCTCGCAAATGCTGATTTCGCTTAGGAAGATAAAGCGCGAAGAAACAGTGTAGAGAAATGGTCTTCATGCTAGATTTTTTAATGTTTTAAAACCATTTAAACGTTAGATAAGTGAAGGACCGATATTTTTGGATGTTGGATAAAGGGGCTAACGTCAAATAACCAATAAATGTTTTTTTAGTAGAGGGATCGACGTCAAAAGTTGTCATTTTATTTTATAAAAAATGTTATGTCTCATCTTTTACATTGACTTCATTGCATTGATGACTTTATAGCCCTTTTTTGTGTCAGTGAATCAAAATTAAATTTATTTTTAATTCAAAATAGTTTCTCATTTTATTGTTTGATCTTAAACAATACTAAAAAAAAGTTAAAAATACACCAAAACCTAATAAAACATTACCAAAATAAAGCTTGACACAAATGACAGAACTAATTAGTTAAAATAATAACATGTTTTTGTCTAATAAAACTATAAAAGCTTGGAAATACTTGTAGAGTCAAAATTTAAAATAGAAAGAATTTGAGTAAAAGCAATTTACAAAGAATAATAAGGATCATATGGAACAACGAAGAAGAAAAAAAATAACAAAAATAAAAGAACTTATTCTTAGATAAGATATCTTCTTATATTATACAAATAATAAATTTAGTATTTATTTAATTTTGTACTTAAGATAGATTGTGTCAGACCTCGTAAATACGCATCCAAAACCCCTCCTGTCATGATCATTTAAAACGCACCAAAAACCCTCTGAACGGCGCCAGGTGTCAAGAAACGAGGATCCTAAAATCAGATAGTGGAATGCAGGTGTCAGCGGGAGAGCGGACATTCGTTTGAAACAAAAATTGATTTTTCTGAAATCCGCGTCACTCTCTTCTGCATGCACCCTCTTCCCCAAACTCTGAAATTTTCACTTTCTCTTCCTTCTCTCTAAAACGTTTCCCTTCTCTCTACAAATTCTCACCTCTCCTCTTCTCTGATCAACCCTCAGGCACCCATTCTACTCTTCCGGCGTAGAGGACGATCGTTTGAACCAATCAGCTTAGGATTCTAAACTGGTAAGTTCATCTTTCCTCCATTCGTGTGTTTTCTGTAACATGCAAAACCAGATTCCTGGTTGCATGAGTTGATCCTATCATTCTGAGTATCTCGTTGGTTTTTATGTTGGTTATAGCTCTTAGAACGTGTTGTAGAACGTTAAGGCTTCTGGTAGAAGGAGAACCCTAGTCTGTATCTGTGAACGTTCGGATATCTTAAGAGGTAAGGGAAGCTTATTTAATTTAATCTGGATGTTTACTGTGCTGTATGAACGTTCGTTGATTAGATGACTGCAAATGAACTATGTCTGTGTTATGTTCTGATGCATGAAATATATGAAATCTCTATGTTTGGATGTTATGAAATATGAAAGTAATTATGATATGAATGTGGAAAGTTATGAAGTTATATGTTAAGAAATGAGTTTGAATATATATGAATTTTAATATGAAATTTCCCTAAGAAAGAGTACGTACGTTACTGAACGGTCCTTAACCGTTCGGTTTTCTAGTGAATTTGAATTTGTAGTGGATTCTTTCATTTGGGAAGAATCCTAGTTGAGGACGATCTTCTTCACTTCGAAAGATTGTGCTTGAGCGTTCGACCAAGCATAGTTCTGTCTTGATATCCTGTTAGTAACACCTGGTTTTATATCAAGTGTTCGTCCTAATAAAATGTTTGGTCTTATACCAGGCACTCGTTCCATTTCCGTAAGCTAAATTTTTATATACGAGCGTTCGTTTAAGCCCTCTAGGGTTTGCTCTCTATAGCGTTCAGTCTTTGACTGACATTTTGGATTCCTTGATACTAAACTCAATTAAACCCCAACGTTCAGTTTTCTTCATGTGAATCACTCTGAGTACTAGTTTTTGAATACCTAGAAATATCCTTATTCATTGTTTGCACACTAGAGTCCACGTCCTTGGTTCGGTTTTCTTTTAATGTTCTGAGTGAGTTCTCAAGAGTCAGTTCATCTAATTGACTAAAGGTTAAAATTGACATTCGTCCCATTCGTCCTTGGAATATAATATTGTACTCGTTATCTCTCATTTTCATTCCACGTGTTCGATCTTGTTCTCAGTTCGGGTTGAACGTTCGTCATTTTAGAGTTTATTGGAATCTTTGTTCGAGATAGTTCACTGAGATATTTATTAATGAAAGATGAAGAAAATGTGATTTAGAAATGTTGTGGATTATGGTTGAGTGTTCCGGGGAGGAACGACTCATGTATGAATATTGGAATTGGTAAAGTATGACTGTGGGTATGCTAAGCTGGTCTTTCATCCTGATGTTCCGTGAGTACTCGTCTTCACGTAGAGGAGGGTAGGTCATGTGTGGGAACGGCAGGAGGTCCTAGTCCTTAGGGGTACTTTGGACAGATAGGACTAACCTCGGGTGGCAGCTGTTGAGTGTATCCCAGTTACTACATCACCCGGGTGCACGAACACCTGTAGCTACACAGATTTCATACAGTCCGGACGGTCAGTCTAGTGATAGGCTTTGTATGATACCTACGTTGAAATGCTCTTGTGTGTTGGATTGTTTAACTTATATGTTGATGCATGAATTAAATTACATAAGCTTACCCTGTGTTTTCCTTGTGTTGTCTCGTCTTGTGCGTCCGTCTTGTCGTTGCAATGATCATCCGTGTGGATGTGAGCAGAAGGAGACGCGCTGCTGGAAGAGGCGCTGGAAGAAGAAAATTCTGTAGAAGTAGAAGTGAAGACCGAACAGTAGAACGTTCGGATAGTAGTTACGGTTCGGTAGTTTCTTTTGTAAACCGATCGGTCATGTTTCACTTATCCTGTACAATTTTAATTGAAACTTATATGTAATTTCGTTCGGCCATAAACGTTTTTTATCTTAGTGGAAGACTGATCTTGACTATTATTAAATGTAATTATTCTATTATATAGTTTATACTGTATTTTTGGGATGTTACGTATTGTTTTATTATATTTTTGAAAAGTTGTTTTGTGTATAAATTTTTTTTAACGGTGATGCATTAATAATATAAAATTATTTTTACATTCCAAATCCGTGATTTTTTTCAATGATTAAATGTGAATGAATTTTGGCGATAAAAATTATGATAATAATAATATTCATAATGATTTATATATTATAATAATTATAATAAATATGTTTTAAGATAAAAAGAATTAAAATATGTTAAATCATTAAAAATAATGAGTAAGTTATTTTAATTTTTTTTTAGAATTTGTAAGAATAACATGAAATATTTATTACATTTTCTTTATCATTTATTATAAAATTAATTTTATTAATTATGTGATTGATCTTTTAGTTGATATATATAATTTTCCCAGTTTCAAAAATAGAAGAAAGCATTAAAAAAATAAAAATAAACATTAAAAAAATAATTTTAAATTATAATATATATATATATATATATATATATATATATGTGTGTATATATATATATATATATATATATATATATATATATATATAATTTTAAAAAAATTATATAAAAAAATTATCCTGTAACCTTAAAGCGTATGTAATGCTGTCATTATCTTTTTGGATTAAAACCAATTTTGATCTCCTACGCAATCCACATTTTACTTAAGATAGAAAGAAGTAAGAAATAGGAGATACTATTGAATTCTTAAGATATTACAATAAGATCCGAATTCGAATAAAATTTAACCCTCCCCAGTCCTCCAATGCCTCTCTCTCTCTCTTTGCCAAATGACCATCCATCAATTTATAAATAAAGCAGTAGCCCACTGATGGCTCAATGCATGATATAGGTCAGCACCAAGGCCAAAAGCATTAGAACATATGCAACTGCTTGGTCAATTGTGGTGCCTGCAGAATACGAACAATTTATTACCTATATGCATGTGCCCCTTTAAAAATCTTCAGAAGAAATTAGCTATTTAAGTATTGAAATTTGTTGATAGAAAAAGCAATGAAAGAAGAATAGAGAGAAATACCATCGCTTGTTGGGGCAGGAGCTGGAGCAGTGACTTGTGAAGAAGCCACAGTCATGAGAGCTGCAATGATGAGGATAAGGAAGGTAACCACCCTGAATGAAGCACTGGAAACGGCCATGTTTCTCTTTACAGCTAATATGTCTTTCTTCTTATTGATTTCCTTTTCTCTCTCTCTCCTTCCTTTCTCTTGATCTCTCAAACTTAAGAGAGAAAGAAAGGAGAGAGAAGGCAAAGTAGCTAAGTTTGTGTAAGAAAGATGTTGGGGTGGTGAGATTCAAAACCCCTATCAGCTCCCTTTTATAATGCCAATGCTTCAATCTCACCACCTCTTTTCAGATCTCCAATGAAGGGTGCACCGCACTTTCAGGATAACTCCTACTATTTTCACTTTTCCTTTTCTTTCGTTCAATATTGTTACTAACATCCTTTCGCCAAACCAACTCATTTACTTAATATACCTTTGCTTTACCTTAAAACAATCCCTTTCACTGATTTGGTAAGTATTGGAAATGTAAAAAGATTGGCCATATTAACTAGTTAGAATATGGATTTCAAAATAATTACTATAAAATTTAATAAATTTATCATTTATTATAATTGTTAATAAATGACAAATAAATATATTATGAGTGCATGGACTATATTTTCATAATTTTAAACAACAAATGAAAGTAGTTTAGCTGGTTTTTGCAGTTTTCTCCTTTAAATAAGACAGCGGTGTCACAAAGTTGGCAGTTCCATTTATTTGCTACGCGTACCAAATTATTGCCCTTAATTCTAAACAGAGAAGACAAAGTATGATTTCATATCGAGAGAAAATAAAAAATGCCATAATTACTAAAAATACGATTATAACTAATTAAAAGAGTAACAGTGGACAGCATATGCATACACATATAGGCACCATAATATTTAAATTGAAACATAATTATATAATCTAGTTGGTGTTTGTTTCAACCTAAGACTGAAACGTAATTAAGGAAAGAAAGGGTTCTCTTTGTTTATGTAGATATGGTATAGCTGCTTTGAGTAGCGAATGGCAAAGGTTCTGCATAGTTCAACTGCTTTGGGGTCATGTTCTTGCAATTCCTTGAGAGACTTCTTCAAACCACCACGAGGATCTCCATGAGTGAGGTACTCGGCCAAAGTGCTCCCTCTGTAAAAGCAAGAAAACACGAGAAAGATACTGATATACAAGTGACTTTGAGCTCACTAACTAAAATTGCTAGTTTTTTCTCCCTAAAAGATATATTATTTGACTTTGAGATGAGATTGCAAAGCAGAGGGAGGGCAGAATCTGCGTATGCCTTCTGATGCACTATCTTTTGTGTTCATTAAGCAATATTGTTTCTCTCATTAATATCAGTTGCTATCAGATCAATTTTCAAAGAAATGGCTTAACCCTGTTATGATGCTGAATTCATAAAAAGGTTAAATTTCAATCTCCTCTATTGAAAGCTTCTAAAATTACACCAAACATATTCTCTCTTGAAATATTACTCTCATACAAATTAAAATGCCTTACATTTTAACGTAAGCAAACCTCTAAGTTTTTTTTTTTTATTTGCAGCTCTCAACGTCACCAACAATCACTCTGAAGTAACGATCTCACCCTAAAAAACTAAGTTTTTGTCACACTTGAAATAGCCTTCGTAGTTGTGGCAAGTTCTTAGTTTTTGGTGTGTCAATGCAATTTTCAAAACAAGTCCCAATAGAACGTAATTAATTTTTAACTAAATTCTAAACCTCTTTTCATTTTATTATTTAAAAAACAATAGTTTTTAGTTGTGCTCCCGGACTCAGAAAATCTCCAATGAAGATCTAATGGTAATCTATGACTAGAGTATTTAAAATTGTGTTGTCCAGTCTTTAAGACCTGAGGAGAATTTTAAACTTGGACTGGTTGGCGGTTATTCGGGTTATGTGAATCTCTTGTTATAGAGAATCTTATCTTCTCAACCGCCAATTCCCTCCAAAACAGAGTTCCAACTAAGAGACATAAGATCCTCCATCAATTCACCCCGTTCCACTCCTACTCTAAAACAAACATAATATTTTTATGTTGTAGATGTCTCTAGCAAGCGTAGAAAAAGGATGAACCTTTAGGAACCATACCACGTTAAATAAGTGCAGCATAGCCAAAG